CTACTAATTAAATATTTAAGCCTCACGAATGAACCAACATACCCAACGTGGAAATCCGAAACAAAATCCGTTCTGTTGTTACGAATAAAAATGTAGATAGACCAACGCAGCGTCAATCTTGGTTTTATACGAGGTATAAAGCTTGCGTCTAATCCCTAGGTATTAACTGATATATTTATTTATTGCATTTTTTATAGAGGAGGGGGCAAACGAGCATACGGTACACCTGATGTTAAGTGACTACCGCCGCCCATGAACATCCGCAGCACCAGAGAATTATATTAATATGGGGGTTATATTATGCATTTCATTCTATTAATACGATACATGATATATAAATAGAATGGACGTTACGGGTAGGCATCGGTATGGAAGTTTTATCGATATATTTTGTCACACTGTCTTATCTCTATTAGTGGTTCTGTTTACGTTCACTTGTGCTGTCAGCGTCAAAATGGCTAAAATCAAAACGCCTCAGTTCATATACTTAGAGAGTTTGGTGTTTGCAATTGATTGAAGATGGGAATATCAATCACCTCACAATTTATTTTTGTTGCTTTTTATGATTGGCTTTTATATTTTAAATATAGTATACGAAATACTTTTTCCATGATTAGAAGATGACCAACATTCAAGATGACGAATATTCAAGATATGTAAAAGTACAAAAACAGGCTTTAAAAATCATCGCAATAAAAATATCATATATGCTCGAATTTATTTTTCGTTTAATTAAGTTTATATATATAAAGTCTGTCTGTTTATTTGTTTGTTCAGGCTAATCTCCGAAATGACTGGACCAATTTTGACGGACCTTTCACTGGCAGATAGATGAGAGCAGATAGTGATAGAGATGTTATGAGGAGTAACTTAAGCTAGTTTTATTCTGGAAACAGAGAATTTCGTGCATAAAAATTAAAATCCATGAAACCCAATCGTAATAATTACGATGCGGACAAAATCGCGGGGAAAACCTAGTCATATATGTAAATGATCGCTCTTTAGATAATTCTCTAGAACTGTTTCATTCAAATTTAACTTTTTATTTAGTAGGGCTATGGTACCGCTGTTTATTTTTATTTTATTTATTTATTTATTTTTCAAGTAAAAACGCCTATTTTGCCAGTATACTTTAAACTAGGGGTTAGTAAGTTAACAGAAAATATTATTTACATGTTTATGACTGCAGCACCAATACGACAGCTCGACCGGAGAGGGTGATCATTCGAAGAACCAGCGTCAAAAGCAGCAAAATATTGTTGTGAACAGGTGTTAAAGTCTCCCATAAAAATAGTATGACTATACGTAGGGACTAGTGATTCCAAAAGAGATTCGAAAGAAGTAAAATAGTTTACAGAAAGAGAGGGACTGTAGAATACTCCAAGAAGGATTTTATTCTGAGACAGGGAGACCTCAACCAGCAAATGCTCAGCAGAATCAACAGGGGGTAGTTGACATGACGAACTAACAATTTTAAATGGAAAGTAGGATCTAAGATAGATCGCCACGCCCCCGCCACCCCTATTAGTGCGATCATTTCTAATTAGATGGAACCCGGGCAAAGAGTAAGAAGTAGAAGGCAGACAGGGTTTTAGCCAAGATTCTGATACTAAAATTTGAAGTGCAAAACAGAAACAAAATTAGATATAAGAAAGTTAGGGACGGCTTAGACGACACACTGTATCACAAAACGTCGCTTAGTTATTTGTATGAAAAGATGTTTGTTAAAGATGTTTGATCTAGGTCAAAAAAATGTTTTCGGCTTTTATTACCTAGGAGATTCGCTGAAATTAGGTTTGTGTTAATTTCGCAACTGCTGACATCTGAAACGAACTGCCACTATAAATCCAGTCTATCCTGTCTTTATCTACTTATCACTTATTACACCAGTCACTGACTATGCATGGTACTAATTCCTCCTTAAGTTATTGAATTTTTTTTAACCCAGGAACCTATATGGTTAATGTGTAAGGTCTGTGATGGAATAGCAGACGTAATGTGTTTCCCATTACAACTGAGTCACATCCCGTTTTGTCGAAAGTTCTAAAGGAAGAGAGATAGAGAAGGTTTAGAAAGTAATAATGTAGTTTCTATTAAAGTCACGTTATAATTTTAGTGTATCATCCCGTAAGTGTTATAAGAGATGATAGAGGAAAATTTAAACTGGAAATGGGCAGCAATATCTTTCTGATAACAGCTGAAAATAAGAAAAAACTGCTGTAGCCAAAACGCTTTCAAAGCATGGCAACTATGGCAGGATCCCACTTATGTAGCAATCTATGGAAGAGGCCTGTTTTCAGCAGTGGACTTTAATAGGCCTGTAATAATAATAACAATGTAATCGAGATCGAATTTTCGTCACGTTGGCAGTTCTTATCGAAGACTAGCAATGTGCGCAGGACAGCATTATAGTGCCCGCGTGTATTCACCTGCAAGCACGTGTGCACTCTCATTTCGCTTAATCTAATAATCTGATGGGACAGCGTGGCACGCTTAGAAAGCGTTTTGTCTACATCCGTTTTTTCTCATTTTCAGCTGTTATCAGAAAGATATTGCTGCCCATTTCCAGTTTAAATTTTCCTCTATCATCTCTTATAATACTTACGGGATAATACACTAAAATTATAACGTGACTTAAATAGAAACTACATTATTACTTTCTAAACCTTCTCTATCTCTCTTCCTTTAGAACTTTCGACAAAACGGGATGTGACTCAGTAGTAATGGAAAACACATTACTTCTGCTATTCCATCACAGACCTTACACATTAACCATATAGGTTCCTGGGTAAGTGATGTTATAGATCAAGTGGGAGTAACTAACCATAAAAAAATATTCAATAACTTAAGGAAGAATTAGTACCATGCATAGTCAGTGACTGCTGTAATAAGTGATAAGTAGATAAAGACAGGATAGACTGGATTTATGGCGGCAGTTCGTTTCGGATGTCAGCAGTTGCGAAATTAATACAAACCTAATTTCAGCGAATCTCCTAGGTAATAAAAGCCGTAAACATTTTTTTGACCTAGATAAAACATCTTTAACAAATATCTTTTCATACAAATAACGTTTTGTGATACAGCGTGCCGTCTAAGCCGTCCCTAACTTTCTTATATCTAATTTTGTTTCTGTTTTGCACTTCAAATTCAGTCCTTTCGGTTTTCAGTTATAATTGTTTAAGTATCTATTCTCAGATATTTTTTTCTACTCATAAATTCCGTTTGTGCTCCATTTACATTTTTCTTAATAAATAAAATGAATACTTTTCATCTGGGGGCACGGCAGTGCCCCGCCATTCGAGCAAAAAAGCGGCACGGCCGTAGTATACTTTTCTCGATTCTCGAAGCAATTCAGGCCATTTTAAACCCCTTATCTATAACTATAACTTCGTAGTGCATTAAACTAGAAGCCTGAATTTTCAGTAACCAAGTAAGCATTATATAAACATGGTATGTTTCAAATTTCATGTAATTTGAACCAGTAGTTTAAGAATTATAACTAGTCAAAATTTCTTAATTTTGTCACTCACTGACTGACCGATCATCAAAACTTTAAGACACTTCTAGCAGACATATAAGCTTCAAATTTAGAATGCCATTAGAGTTTAGTGTATAGATCAAGGAAAAACTAAAATATTTTTTTAATTGCGGTCCAGTTTTCTAGATACACTAACTGCATAAATAACTTTGTAATCCTATATAAATATATAGAATTACAAAGTTATATTTGCAGTAAATGAATCAGTGTACTTGTATATGTATAATAGTTGTAGATAGGTACGTTTTTGGTATTCAAGAAATAGAAGGTACCGGAAAGGTAAAAAAGGTCTATCTTATCTACAAAAAGAAATGAGAGGCCATCAAAAACATAACTTGTAAAAAAAACCGAGTCTCGCAATTCAGTTCTTCTACCGTAAAAAGTTGTGAGATCCATGTAATAACAAGTCGGTTAATTTATTCAGTCCCTAATTAAGGATCCTTCTGTTTTAAGTTTTAGTAATTAGCTAACCTAACAACATTTTATAGTGACCATATCAATGTTAAAAATCGTTTATGTTTTAAATATACAGGGTGTCCAGTAAATAGCACGACATACTGCAGGGGTGATAGCTAGGGTCACTACCTATCAATACAACACAATATATGTTCAGCAAAATCTTACGGATTTACAGTTTTACAAAATTTTCCGAAATACCGAAAAATCTCTACATTGAAACAGATTTTTAAGCATCTCGTAATGAAAAAATCCTTTTCTAGTACTTTTTTTTCATTAAATTATTCGTGAATTTGATCGGTGAATCGTTACTTTACTCATTGATAAGTCTTTTTTCTATCAAAGACAAGAATGTTTTCAAGAAATACTATTTTTTGTTTAAATTTGCACAGAACTATTTTCTTATCACTTAAGTTTAACCTACAGTGGTGAAAAAAAATATATGTGGCAGTTTTGTACAACAAACTTAAAAAATAGCTTGTTTAATGGTGATTTAGGAAAGATACAACACTAGTGCATTTTCATTAAAAAAATACAAAAAAATGCTATTTTAGTTCCAGAGAAGCTGATTTTGTTGAAAATGTAATTAACGTAATTTTGACAAAAACCACTATGAGAATAAGTAATAGCTGCTCATTTACGCGAATTATTATAAAACTAGTTGTGACACGTAAAATGCGACATGCACGCGTAATGACTAAAGGTTTTTACCTGCTCGCCGACCGACCCGACCCGACCGGTTACTGTCTAACAAAAGAAGCGCATGTGCTATCCCGCTCTTTCTTGCATTGTGATTTTGTGTCTCACTCTCAACCTTATTTGCGACACTTGTCAGTACGCTACCTTAAACCGTGGGCAATGCATCTCCGTGTTCACAAATTATTGTTTCGTAGTGACGACTGTTTTGTGCCTTGGACCCCGGACTTTGTTTGCCTTACGATTTGGATTTTTTTATTGTGATCACTAAGACGACTTGGCGACCACCTGGACTTTTGTGTTTTATAACATGGCCAACCGCCGCGTTTTTCCTGCTTATACGCAGCGAGAGTATGCTGAGATGCACCTTATTTACGGAGAAGCTGGCCAAAGTTCCCGAGCTGCTGCCACCTTCTACAGGGAAAGGTTTCCCAATAGGAGACATCCACACCATGAAATGTTTACCAGAGTGCATAACTCCTACATGGAAGGCAGACTCCCTAGTCAACGTGGCGATGGACGGCCTCAAGTTGCTGACGAAGACATAGTCCTTCAGGAACGAGAACAAGACCCGACAACTTCGGTTAGGGCGATACTACGGCGCACAGGGATACCGCAGTCTACTGTTCATTCAGTACTTAAGAGGTACTAATGGATAACATCCATTTCACGTATGACGCGTGCAAACTCTTTTAACTAGAGACTACCTGTCGAGAGTTCAATTCTGCCGCCACATGCTTGAAATGCATCGGGAGGACCCAAACTTTTTTAATAAGGTGTTATGGAGTGATGAATCAGCCTGCAGAAAGGACGGCTACTTTAATTTGCATAATTTACATAGTTGGCAATTAGAAAATCCGTATGTGTCAAGAGAAGACAGGTCCCAGTACCAATTCAAAATAAATTTATGGTGTGGGATTTTTAATGGCCAGATTGTGGGTCCCGTCAAGCTTCCACCTACATTAAATGCCAATAATTACTTGGAGTTTTTACGGGAAACCCTACCCACGCTCCTTGAAAATGTTCCGAGTGAGCTAAGAGAGATAATGTGGCTTCAAAATAATGGGTGCCCTGCTCATTATGGCCGGGAAGTAAGAGCCTACTTAGATGAAGCTTATCCAGGCAGGTGGATTGGGCAACTGGGACCGATATTATGGCCACCTAGGTCTCCGGACCTAAACTCCCTGGATTTTTATTGGGGTGCCATGAAGGACAAAGTCTATGAAAAACCGATCCAAAATGACAATGAATTGAGAGCAAAGGTTAATAACATTGCAGCAAGAAAAATATCGGAAATAAGCCTGAGAAGTCCCAAAAGCTCATTTTTAAGAAGATGCCGAGCGTGTATTAGGGCACAAGGGAAGCAATTTGAGCATTTATTGTAATTTATTTAAATAAATGTTTATTAAAGTTAACTCCTCTGTTTTTTTTTACTATCACCTTATCCTTCAAGATGTCATTTACAGACCGGCCGGCCGGTCGGCTGTAGATTAATTATTATGTAATTCGAACCGTAGTACGACCTTACAACGATTCGAATTCAAAGTAACATTACTTGCATTTAAAATAAAATGCTCTTATTAACTAAAATAGCTTATTTTTTGTATTTTTTTATGAAAATGCATTAGTATTGTATCTTTCCTAAATCACCATTAAACAAGCTATTTTTTAAGTTTGTTGTACAAAACTGCCACATACATTTTTTTTCACCACTGTAGGTTAAACTTAAGTAATAAGAAAATAGTTCTGTGCAAATTTAAACAAAAAATAGTATTTCTTGAAAAACATTCTTGTCTTTGATAGAAAAAAAGACTTATCAATGAGTAAATCACGCTATTTTTTCATTACGAGATGCTTAAAAATCTGTTTCAAGGTAGAGATTTTTCGGTATTTCGGAAAATTTTGTAAAACTGTATATCCGTAAGATTTTGCTGAACATATATTGTGTTGTATTGATAGGTAGTGACCCTAGCTATCACCCCCTGCAGTATGTGTATGCTATTTACTGGACACCCTGTATAGATTGACTTGAGTTGAAGGTTGTCTGGCCACAGCACACGTGTACTGTGTGCTCGTTAGTCACTCTAATTTGACATCATGTTTTTTAACAATATTTGTCTATGATTGGAATCTAATTAGTAGATCACTGAAAAGGGTAAAATAATTTAACTTTAAAAATCCTGGCTTTAAAACTTTTAATTCTTTGATGTACTACTTCCTAGCAC